TCCCATCGAAGCAGCGCTCCCTTCACCTCAACCCTGTGTCAGCGATGCATTCGCTTGCTCGCGGAGCGCCCCTGCGACCGCGCCTTCGCATTGCCATTTCGGCCCAAGGCCTCGGCTCAAGGCCTCGGCGGCCGCGCCAGCGACAATGGCCGACGACGCGGAGAGGTCACTGCAATCGTTGCTGTCTTTGGGCGACCCCTTTGCGCAGTTCCAGGGTGGGGCCCAGGAGAGCGGGGGCGCTGGCAACGAATCGCGCATGAATCCAACCTCAAACTCAGAGCCCCGCATGAGTCCCATCTCAGACTCAGAGTCCGAGGGGCGGAGCGCCGCCGACAAGGGCAAAGGCTGCAAGGGCGGGTGGCGCGCCAGCGGCAAGGGCGAGCCCGACAGCGACGGCGACGCGGAGAACCCGAGGCGCAAGCAAGCGAGGATGACCTTCCTGTGGAACACCCCGCAGGCTCTCAAGGACGAGGAGGACGTGGCACAGCAGTTCGCCGTGCCATGGGCCATGCGCGGCCCGCCTCCTCCAAGCGAGGGGGGGCCGACGATGTGGCGCGGCAACAGATGGTCAGAAGGCGAGCGGCGTTGGAAGAAACGCGGTGGCACGTCCAGGGAGTTCTTCGAGGAGAAGTACGGCTACGGCGGCTGGGGCCGGCAAGCAGGCCACGTGCCGAAGCGGCCTTCGGACTGCAAGGGCATGGGCGGCGGCAAGGGCGCCTCTTCCAGGAGCGGCAAAGGCCAGGAGCAGAGCAAGGGCGGCGCCTTCTCCGAGCGCAGCAAGGGCGGCAAGGACGGCAAGGGCAGCAAGGGCAGCGCCCCCGAAGGCACGCGGGCGCCGCGGGCGCAGGCCGCCTGGGACCCTCGTGACCTCGAGGACATTTGAGAAAAAAAACAGCGATTGACTCGCTATGCAGTTCACAAGCGATTGAATCGCTATGCAGGTCACCTCTCTCGTCTATCTCTCCTCTCTTCGTCGCGATCCAGGCCAAAATCCCCACGCCGCCCTCCGCCGCGATCCAGGCCAAAATCTCCGCGGCGATCCACGCCACGGGCGCCGTTCGTAGGTCAAAATCTCCGCAGCGACCCAGGCCACAATCTCTGGTCTCAGTTTTTGGGCGGGCCCTTTAGGAATTTACTGACGCCAAAAATGGGTCCCAGATTTGGCGGTCCCTTCGTGGGATGTTATTGACGCAATGAAGGCCCCCAGATTTGGCGAGCCCCTCGTGGGAAGTTACTGGCGCAAAGAAGTGCCCCAGATGCGGCGGGCCGTTCTCTCCCCCCTTCGGTCGCCTCGGCTTGCTCGACCTCCTCGCTCAGCCCCCATTCGATGCGTCGGCATCCTTGCACCCCTGCCCGCTGCATTTCCTCTCAGCGATTGCATTCGCTCCATGGGGCGGGCCGCGCGAGTAGTCATCTGCATTCGTCTGGGCTCAATCTGTTTAGAACGGTTTTCTTTCTCAGCGGCCAAGGGCCAAGGCGCGCTCGGCGGGCAGCGATGGATGGGCCGTCGGAGGCCGCGAGTTCCAGCGGGAGTGAATGGCTGTGGCGCGGCTTTTGCCCTCGCGGCGATTGCAAGAAAGCTGGCTCGTGCATCTTCTCGGACCCTGACAGGGACATCGTGAAGGAAAAGGTGGCGAACCACTTGTGGTGTTCTACCTACCGCAACGAGGACAACGCCCTCGAGTGGGAGGCGGCGTTGCAGGAGGCAGACAATGACGCGTTCATTGTCTACGAGCTGGGCACGCAGAAGAGCAAGAAGCGCCCCGCGCCATCCGTGGAACCGCAGCCAGGGCGGGCCGTTCAACAGCGGTCTTCAGGACCAGTCGGCCAGTACAAGTCGAAGACAGTGGTGACGCGGGACATCACGGTGCGCAAGGGCGAGCTGCAGCAGGTCATGGATTGCCTTGACAGGTCTCTGACTGCGACGGAGCACGCCGCGACCATCGCACGCAGCGCAGCGAAGGCGTTCGAGGACAGCGCTGCTGCGATCTCGGGCGCCAAGAAGACGTTCGAGAGCATCTGCATGCGCCACGTGGGCTGAGCCACTCCAAGACGCGGCCTGCTGCCCTGCGCTCGGCCTGTCTCGGGAGCCCGCCGATTCTTTGAAGGAATAATAGCACCCTCGTGACCCAACTTGAGCGATCGAATCGCTGGCTCTTCCTCGAAACCCCATTTGAGCGATCGAATCGCTGGCTCCTCTTCAGCCCGCCCATGCGCGACCCGCCAAGATGAGAGGGGAGAGGAGGAGGGGGGGGAGGAGAAAGTAAAGAGGAGGGTTGAGAGAGGATGAGGATGAAGAAGAGTAGGAGGAGGAGAAGGAGGAGAAAAACCGAGAAGGACAGATCAGAGGGAAAAGGAGAAGGCCCGAGAGGGAGCGTCAATATTCGTTACAATTTTGACGCTCGTTTCTGGTGTGGTTTCGGATACCGCATGCCCACCCACCCTCCAAGCCCTACGGCGATTGGTGGTCCAACGGTGGTCCAACGGTGGTCCAACGTGGGTGGTCCAACAGAAGGTGGTCCAACGTGGTCCAACGGTGGTCCAACGGTGGTCCAACAGGGGTCCAACGCGTTGGACCGCCGTGGTCCAACGGTGGTCCAACGGGGGTCCAACGTGGGTGGTCCAACGGTGGTCCAACGTGACGTCGCCATCCGTGGTTTGCGCTTTTCTGTTTGGATGGGGGCGGGGGGGGCGAGAGTGCGAGGATCGCTGAGACCTTGTTTCGCTTGCTGAGGTTAGCGATACACTCGCTCAGACAAGCGATTCACTCGCTCAGACTAGCGATACACTCGCTCAGACAAGCGATTCACTCGCTCAGACAAGCGATTCACTCGCTCAGACGCGCTCCCGAGCTCACGACCCCACTGCGCCCTGCTGCAGCCACTCTGGGCTCAAAGCAGCGCTTCCTGCTCTCGGGTCGCTCGGGAGCGCTCGCGCAACCGAGGTATGGACGAGCCTGCGGCGCGCCTGCTGCAGCAGATGTCGGCTGCCGCCCCGCCGCGCGTCTCCGCCCCGCCCAAGCACGTGGAGGTCAAGAAGCAGCGCTCGCTGTTCGAGTTCTCCGTCGTGGCTTCGGCGGCCCGCGCGGGGCAGCTAGACGACGTCAAACAGGAACCCCCCGAGGAGCCAGAGGAAACCCCCGAGGGAGAGCCAGTGACACTTGCCGAAGAGCTAGGGACGGCCCCAGAGGATGCCGCCGAAGTGGCCGCTCACGGCGCCAGCCGCGCAGGCAAGGCCAAGCGCCCTCCCAAGAAGGCCAGGGTCAGGGCAGCCAAGGCAGTGGCAGGCCTTGCGCCCGAGGAGGACGACTGGTCCTGGGAGTGGGGGCCCGAACCCGAACACCTTGACGAAGGAGGCGACCGCGGCGGCGCGGCTGCGCCCGCAGTTGAGGAGAAGAAGGGGGGCAAGAAGAGGAGGGCCTCCGAAGGCGCCGAAGGCTGGCCAGCCGACGCCGACGGCGACGGCGCCGACGCAGACGAGGCCGGGACTGGCGGAGACGACGGCGCCGAGGGCGCCGACTACGGCGTCAGCGGCGAGGACGGCGAGAAGGCCAAGAAAAAGAAGAAGGGGAAGAACAAGGGGAAGCGCTCCAAGACCGCCAAAAAGAAACGCAAGAAACCGGCCGCGCCGAGGAGCTCGGGGGTCCCGACAGAACCCGCCGAGGTCCAGCCACCGTGCGCCGCTGCCCCTGATCAGACGGCTATCGACGCGGTGCCGCGCTTCGATCGCAACCCCGTTTGCACCAAGTGCAAGAAGCCCGTGGAGCCGCTCGCAGCAAGGATTGCAGGCAAGAAAAGGAATGTTTGGCAGTGCTCAACGTGCAGTTCGCGGTACACTCAGCTCCACAGGATTTTCGGAGGATGGCCGCCGCAATCCTTCAAGTCGCTTTCACAGGAAGAGAAATATACTTTTTGGAACGACGTCAAGGAGGCGAACGGGAAGGCAGAGGTCGAGAAGATTGCGGTGGAAACGTTCACGAGGGTATACCGCGAGAGCCGCGCCTCAGGCAGGCAGGGGAAATACCTCCCACTCAGCGTCTACAAGAAGAAGGGCTACTCCGCAAACAGGATTAAGAGGCTGTGCAAAGACAAGAAACAAGATGATGTCCTCGGCACGCTCTACTGCGTGAACATTGATTACAAGGACGACAAAAGCGTCGAGGAAGAGGTCCGCCAGTCCCTGACCGCCGCAAAGGAGCGCACCGCCAGCCCGCAGCAGCACCAAGGCAAGAACAAAGGAAAAGGCAAGGGAAAGGAGCAACTCGCGCCAACCTCAGCCACCAAGAAGATGATGAGCGACGCCGTCAAGATCCTGGCCAAGGTGAGCCCGCTCGCTTTCAAGGCAAAAGGGTTGTTGAACAACCCCATGGCAAGCAAGCTGCACAAGGACCACAGCAAGGCCCTGGCGTGGCACATCAAGGACCTCGACGCTCTCGCGGCCGCGGCCCAGGATACCCTGTCCAAGACCGCCGTGCTGTCCATTCAGCTTGCGACGGTGAAGGAGAAGGCAGACGCGGCTGAGAAGAAGTGCGCGCAGGCGGAGACAGCGCTCAGCACTTTCGACGACTGAGGCTCCCCTGCGGGAGGAGAGGGGAAGTGCAGCAACGAGCATGCTGCGCGAGTGACCGCCTCTTGACATCTCTCGGGCTGAGATGCGGCGTCGTAGAAAAAAATCATTCATTCCGTTAGCGATTCACTCGCTCATTTCGTTAGCGATTCAATCGCTCATTTCGTTAGCGATTCACTCGCTGATTTCGTTAGCGATTCAATCGCTCATTTCGTTAGCGATTCAATCGCTCATTTCGTTAGCGATTCACTCGCTGATTTCGTTAGCGATACAATCGCTCATTTCGTTAGCGATTCACTCGCTATGAAGCGGCGCCCTCTCTCGGAAGCGATTGAATCGCTCGGCGCGACGGCTTGCACCCTTCACCTGCTTTACATTCAGCGATTGGGCTCAGGAGTGCCCGAGTCCCGCGCCCCAGCGCCCGCGTGGCCATCATGGGTAAGCAAGTTCTCGAGAAGCGCCGCCGCCTTGGGAGGCTGGTGACCATTCCAGGCGTGACGTGCGCTGGTTTGTGCGAGGTCCTCCGCCGACTGAGGCAAGCGCCCATCGAAGAGGAGGTCTCTGCGCATGAGGCCAAGGCCGCCGCGAAGATGGAGTACGATAGAGAGATGTCGTGTTCTCTGGAATTGCCGCTGCGCGACGGCGGGTCCTTTGAGTGGCGCATTGCAAGGACGTCGCGGGGCGCACCAAGCAGCGCGTCTTTCTTGGGCCGCAAAAAATCAGCAACGGCATCTGGATTTTTTTCTGGTGCCAGTTTTCTCCTCTCCCCCTGCCCCTTCCCCCCCTCCACCCATTCCCCCCTTCCCCCTTCCCCCCCCCCCCCCCAGGGCGGGAGGGGGTGGTGCAGGGGGTTCGCGGCGCGCCTGCTTGGCGCATCCCGCTGAGGCCTGCCCGCTCGGTTCAACGGTTAGTCGAGGTGTCCCCAGCGCTGAAGCGCATGTTCGCGGCCGCGCCTATCACCCCAGCAAGGCCGTGGAACGTGATCCTTGCGCACGACGAGGTCACGCCTGGAGCTGTGCTGCGACCGCATAACCGCAGGAAGTTCGTCGCATTTTACATTTCGTTTCTAGAATTCAAGCATGCCCTTCGGCACGATTGCTGTTGGTTCCCCCTGGGCGTGATCAGGTCGGCACAAGTGGAGAAAATTCGCGGTGGCCTCTCGGGCACGATCAAGTCGTTGCTGCGTCGCTTGCTTCTTGAGGACGGCAATCTCGTGGATGGCGTGGCCTTGCCGCTACAGGGCGGGCCGACAATGTTCTTCGCGAAATTTGCCGCACACTTGGGAGACGAGGTCGCTTTGTCCAGGGGCCTCGGCGTGAAAGGATCTGCAGGGATCCGACCGTGTCTGAAGTGCGCCAACGTGCTCAAGAAAGGCTCAGGCATTGCTGGCGCTGGCGCCGCGCCCAATCGGTTGGTGGAAATCACATGCAGGGACCGCAGCGCATTCATTGGTAATTCTGACGAGGCCGTATGGGGAGCCCACGACGAGTTGACGCACTTACAAGGGACAATATCGAAAGCCGCATTTGTGCGCCACGAGAAAGCACACGGCATCAATTTTAATCCTGATGGGTTGTTGGCGGACGCAGACCTCCGAGGGCAGGTCGGCCCTGTTTCGTCGCTCCATTTTGATTGGATGCATGTATATTTGTGCAATGGTGTTGCGTCCCAGGAAATGTTTTGCTTCATGTCGGCATGCCAAGCCATTCCTGCTCTGAGGGGCATCTATCCGAAGTTGGAACGGTACTGCCAGGCAGACCTGGTCTTTCCCCCAGCAACACCGACGCAAGTGTCGGGAGGCCCACGTTGTTTTCTGCAAGGCCAGGGAGAACGCATCCAAGGAGCATTGGCGAAGCAGCGCCTCAGAGTTGTTGTGCATTTACCCGCTGGTGCGGCATTTTGCTTGCATTGTTATCTTGCCGAATTTCGATGAGCTGCGCGACGAAGTTGCCTCCCTCTGCCATTGTTTCGCTGTAATTGACAAAATTCAACGGGCGAAGGCGGGCGACATCGATGCCTCGGCCCTCGGAGCTGCAGTTGATCGCCACGCGGACGCACATGAAAAAGCATACGGGGCCGACAATTGGAAACCAAAGTTTCATTTGGCGACGCACATTCCCGAGCAAGTGGAGAAATTCGACGTTGTGTTGGATTGCTTCGTTGTTGAGAGGTCGCACCTTCTGCCGAAAATGATTCTGGACAACCAAGATATACTGAAAGGCTTCGAGAAAGCTGCAATTTCTCGCGTGCTGTTGGCGCGCCTGCAGGAGCTCGAAAGTTTCGACGAGCGCCCAGGGCTCAGGGGGGGCGATGCGGAGTTGTCGCCCCTGCTGGCTGAAGCAGTCGGCGGCGACGTCGTCCTTTCATCCAGCGCTGCTTTCAAAGGCTTGCGTGTTTGGGCAGGCGACGTGGTGCGCATGCAGAACAATTTTCTATGCGTCGCAGCTCTGGGCCAACGGGGGGGCGATCTATTCATTCTTGGGCACGAGTGCGTCGTGATCGAGAAGCGGACGCCGAACGCGTCAGTCCTGCGGAAGGACGGCGAATTGCTTCTTGCGTGGTGGAGCGGCGAATCGGTTGAGATGTGCCACGCTTGGTCGGAGCTCGCCTCTGGCGACATTCTTGCTTTGCACTGAGCGGAAAACAACATCTGCCAGGACAGCGATTGAATCGATCATCAAAAAAACATTAGCGATTGAATCGCTCATCCTCCTCCACTCCGCATCTTTCTTCGGTCTGCGATCCTGCAGCGATTGAATCGCTCATCCTCCTCGCAATCCGCCTTTTTCTTCGGTCTGCGATCCGAAGCCTCAGCAGCCACGCGGCGTCGGGGGGATGGGGGTACGCGGGGGAGGAGGGGGGAGAGGGGAATGATAATGTGCGATATGTACAATTCGAGGGTTGCAAAGGAGCCCAAATTTAACTTATTTCAGACAGTTGCAAGTAGTTTACAAGTTATTTGTAACTTTGATAAGTTCTTTGGCCTGCAACTTACAACTCGCAGTTACGATAGTCACATCCCTGGGTAACTTGGGCAGCTGCAATTACAAGTGGTAAACAATGCAACCATCTATGCTAACATCAAGTTGGGTAGTTGCATGTTAGTTCTTCAGATGACCTTAGCTATGTATCAACTTACACCATGCTGTAACCAAAGCTGGCCAGCTTCAAGTTTTCTAACCCAAAGTCGCTACGCCAGTGGAAGCGCGGCCCCCCCCGAGAGAGCGCCCGGAGGGGGTCGCCCCCCGGGGCTCCGCGCGCGGGGGAGTCCCAGGGCGCGTTCCGCCTGGCGCGCGGCCGGCCAAGCGCTGGCCAGGCCTGGCCGATGTAGGCGCCGCTCCGCGATGTCCGGGTCCACCAGCTCCATATGCGGGCCACGGCGCCCTCAAGCGTGCCCAAAGGACTCCCCCATAGGACTCCCCTCCCCCATGGGACTGCCGCACGTGAAACAGATGTGACCCGCATCCCGGCGCGGCGGCCGGCCCTCTTCCTTTGCAACGAATCGCACCGCGCAGAACCTTTCCCTGCCGCCAGGGCTCATTCTCAGCAACAGTATTGATGGCATGCGCAATCCATATCGAATATGGATATGATGCTGTATACGCGTCTGATACATGTAAACATATACAGTTTTAACATTTCTCAACACCTAGGAGTTAGTTGTCAACACGCTTCCTTTCCATTAATCCCATTCCACAATGTCAGTGGGAACGGGGGTAACCCCACCCATCTACTTGACATGTGCCAGTGCCTGCATACGCAACCGTACGGAGACCTTAATTCCAGCCCTCGCGCCGGCCATCCCCCCGGGTGGGACCCACCCAACCACCCGAAGTACCATTCCGAGCTGGCGCCCGCGAGAGAGGGTGGAACTCAGAAAAGGCGGCCCATATTGAGGGCCGCACCTCTCACCCCCTAGCACCGTGCAAACAAGCTCTGAGGGCGGGCGGGTGAAGACGGACTGTGGCTGGTGGCGCAGGACACGGCCTCACCCCTTCGACTCTCCGACCTCCTTGAACCAACATTGGCCACAGACGAAGCCGAGAAGGGGGAAGCCCGGCAGCAGGGGGCCAAGCCCTCCCCACCTCGACGAGACCTCCCCGCCCGGTCGCTCCAGTCCCCAATGAGCAGGCGTTGTGTTTGAGACCCCTCTCCCCCCTCGCTCCCCTCCTCCCCCTCCTCATCCCATCCTCCTCCCTCCTCCTCCTCCTCCTCCTCATTCATCATCATCATCATCATCATCATCCTTCATCATCATCATATCATCATCATCATTCATCATAATCATAATCATCATCATCATCATCATTCATCACCATCATCATCATCATCATCATCATCATCATCATCCCTCCTCCTCCTCCTCCGCCTCCTCCTCCCCCTCCTCCTCCTCCAGTCCATTTTATTCCCAACCCTCCTTGGTTGGGTATTCGTTTTGAATAGAGCAGTGTGGTCGCGTCCTTCCTCCTCCCGCCTCCCGCCTCTTTCCTGCCTCTTTCTGCCTTGCCTGCGGGGGGCTGTGAAACTGTCGCCAGTTTCGAGGCCTGCTGGGGGGTCCAGCATAGAGGGTAATCGCGGCAGATCCAAATTAGACCTCGCCATTCCTGGGGGGCTGCGATATGTGAAACTGTCGCCACTTTCGAGGTCTGCTGGGGGGCTCAGCATAGAGGGTAATCGCGGCAGATTCAAATTAGACCTCGCCATCCCTGGGGGGGGGGGCTGCGATCTGTGAAACTGTCGCCACTTTCGAGGCCTGCTGGGGGGTCCAGCATAGAGGGTAATCGCGGCAGATCAAATTAGACCTCGCCCTCCCTGGGGGGCTGCGATCTGTGAAACTGTCGCCACTTTCGAGGCCTGCTGGGGGGCCCAGCACAGTGAGGGCCACGCGCGGATTCAAATTAGACCTCGCCATCCCTGGGGGGCTGCGATCTGCGAAACTGCCGCCATTTTCGAGGCCTGCTGGGGGGCCCAGCACAGTGAGGGCCACGGGCAGATTCAAATAGACCTCGCCATCCCTGCGGGGCTGCGATCTGTGAACCTGTCGCCACTTTCGAGGCCTGCTGTGATCCCGTTTTCGAAGTGGCTAGGAGTGCCCAGGAATTGTAAATCATCAGCTTTATCAAGCCCTTTTCCTGTAGCCAGTGTCCTGCGAGTCTCCCGAATTCCGTCTGCAGACATATGTAACCCTCGCTCCGTCATCGCCCCCTTATAAAGTATCCTAAACTATTTGCGCCCCGCTTTTGCGCAGGGGTTGGGTACGTCGCCAGGGTAATTGTGCGAACCTCCCTGTCGCACCCCGAGGCCAATCGAAAGGGCGGGCCGGGCGCTTCGCCGGAGACTTCCTCACCACTTGTGACCCCGAAGTTTGAACTTTGCAAAAGCTTTACGGATGAAGGGCGGTCCGCTTGCAAAATGTGGCGCTCGCCCTAGCGCCGCGCACACTGTCAGCGTCCCGTGGTGAGCGTGCCAGAAACAGTTTCCAGGATTCTCATGGTTAGAATTCTCGCCGTGGCGCCGCACATTATGGCTTCAAGGATTCTCATGGTTAGCGCCCCAGCAATTTCGTTTAGGCACGATGTCGGAGTGTCCGGGCGCAATAGTCACGTTGTTCTGGCAAGAATCAGGATCGTCAAGACGCAACAACAACAACAGTGATTCGCGGCGCTGAAAACCCTGGGATGGCGTTCTGGCGCAATATTAAATGTTCAAAAGGGTTGTCTTCCAACGGGGCATATCCTTCAACAAAAATGAATACATGTAGGAGCTTACTCCTCCTCCTCCTCCTCCTCCTCCTCCTCCTTCTCCCTCCCACCCTTCATCCCTCCCTTCCACCCCCCCCATCCATCCGTCCGTTACGTCTCCTCCTCCTCCTCCTAGCCTCTCCTCCTTCCTCTCCCACTCCCACTCCTCTCCTCCTCCTCCACCTTCCTCGTCCGCCCTCCCCTCGTCCTCCTCCTCCCCCCACTTCCTCTCTCCTCCTCCTCCTCCTCCTCCTCCTCCTCCTCCTCCTCCTCCTTCTCCCCCTCCTCCTTTTCCTCATCCTCCTCCTCCTCCTCGTCCTCCTCCTCCCTCTCCTCGCTCCTCCCTGATCTCCCCCATATTCCTCTTCTCCCTTCCCCGCTCCTCCCACCCCTTCCTCCTCTCTCCAGACTGGATTGCTCTGTCGGCCCCCTTCTGTGACCGCTGTTCCCCCCTTCGCATTCCCATCGTGTCAATACTCCTGTCCTCCATCATCCAAATTCCTCCTCCTCCTCCTCTCTTCTCTCCTCCCACCGCCTCCTCCTCCTCCTCCTCATCATCATCATCATCCCTCCTCCTCCTCCTCCTCCTCCTCCTCCTCCTCCTCCTCCTCCTCCCCCTCCTTTGGCTTTGAACAAGTATGCTGGAGTGGTGTCCCCCGCTTACAGAACTCGTGACAGAGACAGGGCAGGCGGCATTGTTATGGGCATACGCAGGCATAATCATTTCCAGACTTTTCGACACCTCGCCGACAAGAAGGAGGACACTATTGGTTTCGTTGACTTGACAGACAAGTGGACCCCAGGTCCGCTCTGCTTTCGCGATGGTGTTGCTCTGGAGTGGAGAACGAAGCATGCATCTATACTAGTTGTGGGTGTGTATTTGGCGGCATCCGTGGGAGTCTCCAGCGGCATCAACGTCGAGAAACTGCTCACGGTCTCGGCTCTGTTGGCGAGGCACACTGGCCAGTGGGCGATTTTCGGCGACTTCAATGCCACGCCCAAGGAAATGAGCAGTTGGATTCATAAATGGTCGGCAGGCGTTTTCTTTCCAGAAGGCACCACTCACACGTCGACGCGAGGTACAGGCCAGAGATCGATCGATTATTGTATCGCCTCCAAAGACTTCCGAGATTTATACGTCTCATCGCAGCTCATAGTTCCCGAAGGTGGAGACCACTATGGGATATCTTTCGATCTGAAGTTCTCAGCATAATCTAACATGCGCAGAGTGCTTGACCTCCCTCGCCTCTTCCAGCCACCGCCGCCGAAGCGTCAGGTTGCCGACCCCGACAGCAAGCGAAGTCGGAAGAAGCTGGAGGACAAGTCCAAGAAGGCCGTGCCGACAGACGCAGGTCTTCAGGAGGCGAGAAAGGAGGAGGATGATGAATTGATTTTTCCGGAGGGTGAGGACGAGAAAGCTGAGAACTCGGAACCGTTCCAGGGCATTCAGACCCCGTTCCCAGAGAGGGCTCGGAAGTTTTTGATCAAGGAATTTGTCGACTACGATCAGGAAACTCTGCAGGTTTTATGGAGCACCGCTGTCGCGGCACGCATTGAGGAGAGAGTCGAACCTATCCGAGACAGATCAGAACCAGCAGTCAAATGGGAGTCCACGGATTTGAATCAGCTATGGGACAGAATATCGGAGAACATGTTGGAGAAGAGCGCTTGGTCGACACCGCCTTCCTGGATATCCGAGTCGTTAGCTTTCAAGTACCAGCCAGGGTCATCGACAAGTCTTGGGATCAGATACGGGCACTTTGTATCTTGCATGGGGCAGTATTTGTGCAGAATCTTGGACATACCTGAATCTACAGCCTGGCAGTACTGCGGCCGAGCAGAACCACGCTCTTTCAAGACAATCGCAGTATC